AGTGTCGGTTCATCTGGAAAGCCTTATCCTATCACCTGACACAAAACGCCTTCCAGTAACCCAGCCTCAAGGTTACCTATATGTGGGCGAAAGTGGCCAAGCTAACCATATCTATAAACAGGCGAAGCCAGTGCACTGACTTGAATATAGGTTGCTATGGTTTTTACAAGCACCTTGCCCACAAAGGTGACATTCACCACCAGAGAGGCAGGATTACAAACCTCCAGGTCCAGCCATCAACTCTGTGTACTAGAAGATCTTCCGGGACATGCAGGAACCAAATCCATTTCTACAGCCTCTGAGAGAAGACCATCTTAGCACCACAGATGCTGAATGTCTTCCAGGGTGTAGACTGACCACCAGAGCAACAAACCCTACTAAATTGAAATCCAGCCCTATCATCCCCTGAGACAAAGGCCAGTTCAAGGGTTATATTCTGCTTTCTCGTAGGACCAACTAGTAACTGTTTTCATGAGAGGCCATACATTTTTGAACTGGTCCATTCATTAGAGTCTTGGGGCAAAGATTGAAATCAACCAGAAGAATTGCCCAGCATCCCACTGAAGACCACTTCGGTCAGGAAAACTGATAGGCAGCAGGGGCCCTTCTGGTCAGTCTTGCTGCTGTACCAAATATCTAAGTAGTCAGTGATATCTAAGTGATCATTTTGCCCACCTCATTTATACACACCCAGATCAGCTTTCTTGTTATTATGTGCTGTCAAGTTGCTTCTGATGTCTGGTGACCTTATGAATGAGAGATCTCCAGAATATTCTGTCCTCAACAGCCCTGATAGGTTCTTCTAAACTCAAGCCTATGGCTTCCTTTAGAGAGTCAATCTATCTCATATTTGGTCTTCTTCTTTTCCTGCTGTCTTCAACCTTTCCCAACATTATCGACTTAAGCAGTTTATCTTGCCTTGTCACCATGTGGCCAATGTATGACAGCCTCCATTTTGCCTCCAGAGATAGTTCAGGCTTGATTTGCTCTAGGACCCACTTGTTCAGCTTTCTGGTAGTCCAGGGCATCCACATAGCTCTACTCCAGCATCATATGAAACAGCTTTCTGACATATGATTAAGTCATGGCATTAAGTAACAGGATTCCTAGGACAGAAGGTATGGGTTGGGTGTGCATGTTACAAGTATTGCTCAAAGGAACCTGCACATTGTAGTCTTGCATAATGTTCAGCAGACACTAAACTCAAGCTATCTATCAATTAGATTGAAAACACCTTCCCTACAAGGAATGTAGATAGCAAGAGAAAGAATAACACAATTTCATGCAGTGGTGTCCAACCTTAGCCCTCCAGATGTTCTTAGACTACAGCTCCCTGAAGCCTTCACCACCACCTCTGCTGGCCAGGATTTCTGGGAGTTGAAGTCCAAGAACATCTGGAGGGCCAAGGTTGGACACCACTGAGAGAATTGTATTCTCTTATGGATGACATTTGGCGGGGGGCATGCCATTGGTGTGCTAGACAGAAAGAAAACAGAGTAGCACAACATACACACACAATACCTATAGCAGTCAATCTACATCTACATACACAGTTTCTCTCTCACACAGAGACACACACAATTTCTATGTACAACATACTTTCCCTCCTCCCACCTTTCTGTAGCTCCCCTTCTTTCATCATTCACCTCTGTTGGAATTGCTGGATGGCTAGTGGATTGCTTTTCTTAACAGCCAAGTCCTGAAGGTCTCAGTACTAAAAAGTCTTGTACAAGAAAAGAAGGGAATGCTGAGGTCACTTTGGAAGCCAGCAACTGGTAGACCCAGTTGGGATCTTCATCACCTCGTCAAACAGGACTACAGGAAACACGTTGCTGGATAAGACGAAACTTGAACTACTCCCTCAGGAATCCCCTTCACACAAAACTGAGTCTGTAACATTATCAAATGTTGAACGAGCAAGGATTACATAAGTTTCCACACAAAAAAACTGGTCTTTGCTTCCTCCTCCCAATCTAATACATTTACTTGGAATTATGGGCACCAATTTTTGTTGACCTTATTTCCAAGTAAGTGTACTCAAGATTGTAGACACCAGTCTCCTGAGAGTTTGATTAAGAGATTAATGCCTCTGTCTGGAAGTGGGGTGAGAGATGGGAAACCCAAGGAAAAAGAACAGTCTGTCTGTTAAACACTAAGTATATTTTTAACTCTGTGCCATCATACCCAGAAGCCAGTCACTGAAGGTACGAGAAGTGTGAAGAGCATAAACTATTTTGAAAAGGCAAGAAAAAAATAACAAGACATTAAAATTAAAAGTTTGAGCCAGTTCTGGCCAAAACAAGAATTAGCATTGTGCCAATGCCATGTTTCTTTTGTTGGAAACAAAAAATTAAAATCTCTCGTTGACTTAACTGGAACCACTAATGGACATAGGTAAACAAAAAAAAATCAGCTCAGGTTTTGAAGCTGTGCATTTATTCATGATTCATAATTAATTTGCAATCAACAAACTAGTCTGCCAATTGCCTTATATATTAAAAGTATTGTATGAGGCACTGGCCATCCTCTACTAATGAAGCCCATTTCTCAGCAATGGAAGATGATGCAATTTGGTTGCTAAGAAACTGAAAACAGCCCTCCAAAACAATGTAAATGAAGGAAATGTACTGCAAAACTAATTCAATATCAATTATTACTAATCCTCCCAACCATTAGTACAAAACACTGCTTTTAAAATGCATGTGTTAAAGTAAATGCTGAGCTGAATCCCAAAAGTTTAGTGAACTTGGGCCTTTTCCAAATATAGCATTTGTTATGCGTTAAGATCCAAGTCGTGCTTATCACTTAAAAGATAAAACGAGAGAACCCTAAACTACTTCTATAAAGGCAGAAATAGGTAATCAATCATTAGAAGAAGCAATCCGTTAACTATGGATGGGCCTTCTGTGTTTTATTGAAACAAAAACATGAAAGAGGCTCTCTGTTTTTTCCACTGTTTTCACTGATTCCCAAAAGAGTGCCTATAAAACATGAATAATTCATATTAGTGGAAGAGGAGTACATAAACGTTTGATGTTCTTTAGTGTTTTGCTGTTTCATTTAACATTTATTTCATTCTTTGTATGGCAAATTACCTAGGAAATGTTTCATCTAATAGCATTGTGAGGGCTGCTGTCAGCAGCAGAGATGGGCACAAACTACTGGTTCAGAGCAATTTGTTTCCCAGCTGCACAGCTGATTCATAGTTCTACGCCCCACCTCCTCCAGCAGGCACACCTTTGGCAGCAGCATCCCATCCTGTTTCCTCTGGGTGCTGCCTCTAAGTGGGCACCTGCTGGAACAGGGTGAGCCACCAAACCCATGCCCATCTCTACTCAGCAGCCAATCAGAACATCTAAATGGAGTGGGAACTTTGAATACGTCAAAGTGTCTGCATTGGTTGGAACCCTATGAGGAGTTCCCTTTGTTTCACCAACCTTCCTTGTGGGTGGGATTATTGGGTGCTGCCTTCCTGCCTGTTCAGCTCAAAGAAGAAAAGAGAAGGAATCATTTGGAGGTGGGGAGAAAGTTTGGTGGAGAGTGGCTTTGATTCCCCCTCCCTTTAGTGGCTTGCTTGATTTTCTTGGTTTCTGGGAAAGGGAGTGCTCTCTCTCTCTCTCTCTCTCTCTCTCTCTCTCTCTCTGTGTGTGTGTTCACTATGTTTTTTTTCTCTCTCTCTCTGTGTGTGTGTGTGTGTGTGTGTGTGTGTGTGTGTGTGTGTGTTCGCTATGTTTTTTCTCTGTGTGTGTCTCTATGCATGGGCTCATATGTGTGTCAAAAGGAACTTCCTCAGTTTGTTTGATTAACTGAAAATTGTTAATTTGGTTAATTTACTGTGCATTACTTCTGCTTGAACTGCATATTTCAGTGAATATTTTTGTTTTTACTGTTCAGTGTTTTTGTTGTTAGCTGCTTTGGTGTGTGCCAAGCATCCAGACAGTGCCTGGAGACTTCCTTCACTCTTTTCTATTGAGCTACCTGAGCCCAAAGGGTCTGTTGTGCTGGGTGGATGACACTGCCACTGAACTAATACTGTTGTTTTCTCTTCTCTAATTTGTAGGTGCTTTATTGCTTTTCAGATTAGTTAGTGAATAGGCAAGGTATTTTTTGCTATCTGTGTAGGACTGGTGTTGATACAATATCTTGGCTTGAGGCACATCTTCGTGTGGCCTCTGGTACTGGTTAGCAGTGGGTGGTGGGCAATGTCAGAGGTTTTGTCTTGTAATTAGTGCCTGCATCAATTTGATAATGATTTTACATCTCATGTACTATTGCCAACTTTTGGAGTACTGTAGATTGATTCTCTGTTGCCTTGACTTTCTGGGTTTTTTAAGAGTTGTTTTGAAGGGTTCTGGCACTCCAAAACAAAAGAAATATGAAATATTTCACCAGACACATCCCTAGTTTTTACTGCTGAAAGTGCCTAAGCATACAGTGACAGTTCTTCTCATCTCATATAACTTGCAAAACCCCCTGCTGTGTTTTGTGATTTACTGTATTTGACATCTCTTTGTCTTTCCCTAACATCGAATTCTTCCAGAATCATGTTTCCCCGATACAAACATGCTTTCAGCTCTTAACCACAGGATCTTTATAACAGCTGTTTCTACCCTTCTACAGATTTGGTAAGAGCAAGGGAATTTTCCCTCTTTGTAAGCCACTTGACATTAAACAAAAGATACGTGGTGTTCTTGCACTCTCAAGTAAAAAATGAAAAAGCATCACGCTATAGCCGCAATAAGATCGTAGTATTTTCATAGCCTGTCATGGTGCACACTGGAACTTTCCTGCAGTGCTTCACAAACCTCTCTTCTTTTTGCTTTTTCTTTAATATAGCATTGAATGAATTAAATCCCTTTTTTCTATTGTTGTTTGCAGTGAAAAAGTGTTTGTGTTTTATGTATTTTATTTATTTTGCTTCGTTTTTTGAGCAGAGGAAAGCCTTAAACCTTTCCTCTCTACAGCCACGGGAGAAGTAAAAAACGATCTTCCTTTTCCAGAAAAGAATAGCAGCAACCCTGACATCACTGGAAGTGAATGCTGCAAGTTCCCTGTCCCCAGGGAACAGGTTTGGGAAACGTATCTGAGATGCTGCCAGTCCAGGTAAAGGGTACTGGGTGAGATGGATCATCTTATTGGCCTGTTTCAACAGATAGCAGCTTCTAACATCCTCATGGTAAACAGGCCGTCTGGTCACTCACGTTATTCAGTCATGAGTGCATTCCCAAAGGGGTTAGCTGTTGCTGAACAAAGGCCACAGTATATCTCACACTCCATAACCTTATCAGAAGGGGGCACTTTGCTAAACTTTACATAAAGACTACCTTTAGTCCTACACGTACACAATCCTCACAGCTGAAAAACACTTCTGCAAACCACACTAGTAGACAGCCATTCTTTAGGAAATACACATAATTAACCAGTTGTTCAGACATCTAAAGGAGTTTATAAAGCAGTATTCTCCTTGTGTTCAGAACAGATTTGCAAAGTCTCAGGGCACTGAAGTCTTAAGGAATTCCAAAGTCTCCAGACAAGGAGACAAATCTCAGGACACTAGAAGAGGAGAATGGTCAATTTTTGTATGTAAAGTGGCTTTAAAGCCTGGGCACCCCATCTTCACCCATTCCCAGATGGCATAAGCTTGAGCTCTCTCAGTGCAAAGATTGTACAGTACTTGTACAATACTGATGCACCAAAAAAAATCTGGAATGAGGGGATAGGACATGGGAGAGAGCCAGTGGGAACATACATGTGGGCTTTTCATGCAATTTACAGTAAGGTAGAAAGCACAGTCTCTTGTGTCCATTTCTACAGTCAGCTGGCAGAGAAACATTTCTACTTCTCCTACAACATGCTGCTGTTGCATTGCAAGAGCCTCCCCCTGGTCTCAGACTTTGGCTCTGAAATCTCAGGGAGGGGTAAACTTGACCCGGTCAACTTACTGCAGATGTAAGGCAGCATTATGCTTTGATATTAGTCTGAATCTATGCTAGCTTGGTTTATGAGTTGTTGTCAGGTTAGAATATGAAACTAGGTTTAAAGCTGGTTTGAAAGAAAACCACTCATTATGCTCACTATAGATTTCTAATTGGTCTGAATTCAAGCCGTTGCTACAGCAACTGCTTTGCTTGTTGCACCACAGAAACTGGCGGGAACTTACAATACTGAATAAATAGTTTTTTTTTAAAAAGAAACTCTAAATTATGAGTCTCCTTTTTTTAAAGGATAAAAGATAAAAATTTACCATGGTTTCTAAACTATGGCCTGAAGTTATATCTGAATTAAATCTCACCATCAAACTGGATTAGCAGTTTCCATCCTTTAGAAAACAGTCCTAACCTGAAAACATAAAACTGGTAAGTCTTTATGATGCTCCTGGACTCTTCATTCTGATTTTTCTTAGACTGACCCCAGTCAGACTGAAACAATGAGAACCTGATTTACTTTTGGAAATTTGAAAAAAAAAATTAATTGGCTCCTCTGTCTCTTTTTTCAGGGCCTACCTCTACTGTGGATCTAATTTGTAATAGCCTTAGAACTACAGAACTGGAAGGAACCCAATGGGCCATAGAGTCCAGCGCCTGTCAACTGAATTCACACTCTCTGGCTCTGCAGGCAGATACCTAAACCACTGAGCTATCTAGCAGTTCATACTCTATAAGGAATTTTCATGGATCTTTGTGGGGCAGGGGGATGCCATTAATAAAAACTTATGACAAAAGGGGGGAAAAAAGACACCCAATGAAAACAGCACAGTAGGTTAAAGTTGGCTAAGAAGTACTGACTGGCCTTAGTATACCAAGGAAGCTTCATAAGAAAGATAGGATTTGAATTTGCACCTTTCTCCTACAAGTCCAGCACTCTTAACTATTACACTTCACTTGCTCTTGAGCTCAGTGGACACTATAAAAATCATGCCAAGGCCAAAACATATTGAGAAAACAGTAATGCAACTGTTCTTGCTTTTACTTTGCATACTATGTATATTTTAATAAATGGCAAATAATGTCATCTAATTTGCACAGTATGTTAATTGAGCTGCCAGAATTTGAAGAAGTGGACTATGGCAACCATAAACCTATTCCAGATGTGGTCTCTCACTTTGATTCAATGGCTGTTATAACAACAGCCGACTTCCAGGATAACAAGGAGATCAGCAGAAGTTTGGCACTAACCTAGATCCCTGGTTATGTCCTATATCATTTATCTGAGGGATGGGCGATTTCTGCCAAGTTGATGGCCATTCTTCAGATCTGCTGGCGGCCTGAGGGCTACAGCAGTTAATTTATATATTAACGTTGTTCTTGCTGTTATTCTTGCTGTTGTTCCTGTCCTCATCAATTGCCATCACCTTTAGAAAATGTAATTCAGTAGTCATGTACTGGGCTTTGTTAACTGAAAAATGAGTTTAACTTAAACAAAAATTAAACTAAAAATGTTTCAGTTTGAATTTCTGCTCAGAGATGGAAGCTCACTGCAGGTGTGGAACTGGTAAAATGACTCCTAAAACATCTCACTCATCTTGAAAACCCTATTAGGATTGCTCTAAGTCAGATCCAACTTGATGGACCGTAATTAATACGTCTCTGTGTGTATATACATATATCGCCCAGAGTAGTAGAATATACCAGATGGGCGGGATATAAATAAATAAATAAATAGATAGATAGATAGATAGATAGATAGATAGATAGATAGATNTAAATAAATAAATAAATAAATGTGCACAAACATGTACATTTTAAATTGTAACGATGGCAAAAATGGAGGGCACAAGGGAATTTTTCTGAGCAAATTATTTTTCTTCCCACCCAACCCACAAACTGGGATATAGAAGGGAGGCAGAGATCCTGAAGGGCCACACACAAGTTATCCCTGAAGGGGCAGATGCAACCACTCTTGTGTCTTGTAGCACCATTTAAAGTTTCAGGAGAAAGGACAACATAATGTCCATATGAACAAAAATATAAAACACCTGGTTTTCAAGAAGTTCAAGATTTAGTTGCATCCCTGTAATACCATGACTTAAGTTCATTCTCTCATTATGTTTTCCAGTTGTAATGTAACATAATACACTGGCTGGGACATCTGGGAATTGTAGTCCTTAAAAAATACCAAACTTTTCTCATCCCTTCCTTGCATTACAGTTAAATTCTAAGACCTGGCAACATAGGAACATTAACCATACCTCATTATCTTAGAATATCCCCACTGAATTCCATTCGTGAGTAAACATGTATAGGACTGCATTGTCAAGGGAGATAAAAGTGGAGAAAAGGAACAGAGAAGAATTCCTTCTCACATCTCATTGATACCATTTCAAAATACCTTATATCATATACCAAAGCCGTGTGGAACTATTTATTCTGCAGCATATATAGGAGCATTAAAAGCAGACTAAACTTAAGAAAATACTGTGCCATATCCTATGGTCAGAAATAGTCAAAGAGCTCATGGGAATTTCTTAAGGGCGCGATACTGAAGACACAATAACAAACAGTTTGTGTCAGAAATAAAAGTGGAGGATGTCTAAAGAAACCGGAGTAGCTGGACAAGGAGTTTTCGGATAAGATTTCAAGGGGACATTTCTAAGAAACTGGAGGAGTGGCAACTCATGAAGGAAGGGTATAAATAAGAAGGGAGAAGACTTGGAAGGCTAAAGTTCAAAATGAGCTCAGATCTGAAGAGGATAAAGCCAGTGGAGAAAAAAATGAGAGAGGATTTCAGTTGTGCCCCAAGCAAGAGAAAGGTCAACAAAGCAGGAAGTCTGCTGCATGGAGGGGATGGAGAAACACTAATGGATGATGTAGAGAAGGCATAACTGATGGTGATCTATTTCACGTCTTTTCCCCAAAACAAAACAGTGATTAACTTTGTAAAGGTAGCATGAAGGAGGCATTTGCGGGGAAGGGGGGCCTGCTGGCCAAGATAAGTTAAGGGGTAGGAGGTGGAATGTCTAGGTCCTTTAAACCAACCTTCTTCACCCCGCATATCAGCTGGGGAAGGCAGGGCACCCCCTGCACTTGTGCGAATGAGCATGCACGTATGCATAAATGGCAGGGCAGCACTTGCACGGGCGCGCTCATGCTTGTGTGCATGCGCAAACAGCGGCGCGGCGCTCGCACAGGTGCACTGGAACACGTGCATGTGCAAATCAGCTGTGCGAGGGTGAGCGCGTGCAGGGGGGAGGTCTGTCTCCACAGCCTGGTCCGGCTGAGGCCACGGACCAGCACTGGGCCGTGGACCAGGGGTTGGGGACCTCTGCTTTAAATGAATCCAAGTATCCTGTGCTAGGTGAACTGCATCCAAAGTATTAGAAAAATTGGCAAATGTAATCTTCGAAGTTCTGTCGCTAAACTTTCAGAATTCTTGGAGAACGAGTGAAGCCTCTGAACCCTGGAGGTGAGCAGATTAGATCCCCATCTTCAAAAAAAAAATAGGGGTGTGTGTGGAGATGATCTAGGCAACTACTGACTCATCACCTTGACATTGGCTTGGGTCTGTGTATATACATTATATATTCAACATTAATCTAGCTAATTTAGATTTGATATGATTTATTTTTAAAAAACTGATGGAAAATCTTAGCAATCACTGTGTTCTTTCTACTTGGTGACAGATCAACTGTTTCATTTTACGTCCTGGTATTAATGTGAAGCTGACAGTACAAGTTCTGGAAACCAAGCCATATGAGAAATGATTGAGAGAGCTGATAGATTTAGCTTACAGAAGAGAAGCCTAAGAGATGATACATAGTGGTAGTGGTAGTAGTAGTAGTAGTAGTAGTAGTAGTAGTAGTAGTAGTAGTAGTAGTAGTAGTAGTAGTAGTAGTAGTAGTACCCTGTTTCCCCAAAAATAAGACCTAACCTGAAAATAAGCCCTATTATGAATTTTTCAGCATGGTCGTAATATAAGCCTTACCCCCCAAAATGTCCAAAAATTGCACAAACAGATTAGAGTTGCAAATTCCAGAAAGAACACCATCAGAGCTACAGCACCCCCTACAGCAATATTAGGAACAGCATACCTACTGCGCCAATATTTAATAGATAAATAGGTTTTTGGTTAAAACCTGTATCTGTTACATAATACCAGTCAATGTTTTCATAATTTTGACTGTGCCTGGTGTTTTATAATAATAATAATAATGTTCCATCAAGTCAATTCTGACTTACGGTGACCCTTTTCAAGGTTTTCCAGGTAAAGAATACACAGAAGTGGTTTACCATCCCCTTTTTTCAGGGGGAATCCTGGTATTGTGCAGCTTGCATATGACTACAGAGGATGGCTCGACTTATAGGAAATGCAGTGGGGAATTGAACTCCCAACCTCTGGCTCCGCAGCCAGATACCTAACCCACTGAGCTAATGAGCCAGGTTGTAATATGATGGCCATCTTCAAATATTTGAAGGGCTGTCATATTGTAAGATGGAGCAAGCTTGTTTTCTGCAACTTCAGGATGCAGGACCTGAAATAATGGATTCAAATTACAAGGAAGATTTCAACTAAACATTAGGAAGAACTTCTTGACAATAAGAGCTGTTCAATGGTGAAATTTATTTATTTATTTTATTTATTTATTTATATCCCGCCTATCTGGTCAGTTAAGACCACTCTAGGCAGCTTACAGCATAAAAATACATAAAAGTATATACAGTGGTGCCTCGCATAGCGAGGTTAATCCGTTCCGGATTAACCTTCGCTATGCTGAAGCATCGTTAAACGGTACAGAAAAGCCCATTAGAACGCATTAAACATGGTTTAATGCGTTCCAAATGGGCCAAATAC